ATGGGTCCAACCTCTATTTGTCCAACAGAGGTCTGGTTTGAGAGTAATTAAAGATTTCAGATTCAGCCTATTTGAATAAATCAGTCCTTTCTTTCAATTTTGGCCAAAAATTTTGCTAGATTTCACCAACCCACGCTTTGATACTAGATGTAGAGTGTATATTGATCAACAAAGTTGGCCCATGCTTAGTTTTTTCCAACCAAAACACCACAATCCGACAACAACGACCTTAGACAATAATCAATCTTCCACTTTCGGTTTCCAAAGAGATAGTTCACTTAGAAGACCACAAAGATATACAATATCTCATATATAATCACCACAGGAAGTAGAAACTAAAAGGAGACAAAAGTGTAGAAGAAAAATGCAATGGCCGAGAGTCACAGAGAAAGAGGCTAGGATGGGTTCTTGCAAAAGGGAGAGAAAGACCCAATATATTAAGTCAAGTGGTCCAAGTATAATAAGTAGCTTTAGATTAACAACTAGGAATAGAGGCCCAATAAGTATACAAATGGGCTACCAAGTAAAGTCTCTCATTTTTTGCCATCCAAGAAAGCAAGTTGGGCCATGAGCAACACTAAAATATTTAGGTTGCTTTAAATGACCCAATTAACTTTTGGGTCGTTTCATTTCGATTATGGTGTTATAATTTTATTCAGTCACTTGACTAAATCCACTGAAGATTAAAACTGAATAACATCATAGCTTAGGAATGTCATTTGACAACAAATTGCTTAACAATGTACATGGAAAAGAAGGTTCATAAGCAACTAACATTTAGGTATAGACTAAACACATTTATAATATTTGGGAACCGCTAAATACATTCACGATTGTTATGCATTCATCTCACTCTATATCTATTCATATTAAAATTTTGAAAAATTAATATTTTCATCCACATCGCATTCCAATACTATCCTTATTAAATTCATTCATTTAAACACTATAAACCCACATAAATTTTGTTTATTAATCCCATTCTAAATACATCTCTAATACAACTTCAAAATTTTAAAAAATTAATACTATATTCATCCCCCATTGTATTTTGACAACAAACAATGTTTGCAGTCCCAATGTCACCTCTTGTTGAGAATTTCTCACTGACCTTTGTCACAGATATCACAACTGCAATCAAAAGTCAGACCAAAGGGGAACAACATCCACATGGCACATCATAACTGTGTGTTATTAACATCATAGATTAGCTCTTGTATATTACAAAACGTATGTAAATTGTAGCGCATGTGGCTAACTTAGGACTTCCTTGAATATGTTGATATGTCTCTTTCTAAATCAGTTGGTCCGGCAGCTGATTGTGCTTGTTTTCTTTCGTTTCTCCTCTTTTCTTTAGTTATTATTCTAGATCATAAAATTATGTTTTAAATACCCGTTTATTTTGTACGACTCTATTTGGGATTGCTATGTTGGAAATAAAAAATTACGGGACGAAAAACTAGAGAGAAAAATTCAGAGAATTCTCAAAAATATTTGTATTCAATGGCTTGACTCTATAAAATGTCTCAAACACAAGGCTTTTTATAGGTACAATGGATCCCAAATACATTGTATGAACTTAATAGACTAATTAATGACTTTTCCTACATATTATGAATAATAGGATACACAGAACCATTTGGATACATGATTTAAATAAATACATGAATATTAAATAAACTAATTCATGTATCAAATTAAAAAAAAAAATTTCTTCATTCATGAATCAAGTTTAATTTCCAACACCCCTTCTTAAACTTGATTCCATCTTGATAACTCCAATCCAAGTAAGCAATCTTGCAAAATCATCATTCTTCAATGGTTTGGTGAAAATGTCTGCTACTTGATCATTGGTCTTCACATAAGCAAGCTCAACTTTTTTGGTCTCAATGCACTTTCTAATGAAGTGAAATCTCGTGTCTATATGCTTACTTCGATCATGGAACATAAGATATTTACCCAAAGCAATAGCTGACTTATTATCAACATAAATTGGTGTAGCTTCATTTTGAGGCATATGAAGCATCTCCAATAATTTTCGTAGCCAAATGGCATGACAAACACATGATGCAGTGGAAACCTAATCAGCTTCACAAGTAGAAAGGGTCACAATGGGCTGCTTCTTTGAACACCACGTGAAAGTGGTGTTACCCATGAAAAACAAAAATCCAGTGGTGCTTTTTCGATCATTAATATCACTAGCCCAATCACTATCACTATAACCATGAAGCTTGAAATTTGTAGAAGAAGAATAAGCTAAGCCATAATCAAGGGTACCTTTAATGTAGCGAAGTATCCTTTTAACAATCTCCAAGTGAGTTAGAGTTGGTGCCTCCATATAACGGCTAACAAGACCAACACCATAAAGAATATCGGGTCTTGTGCAAATTAAATATCTCACAAGCTTCCAACAAACTGTCTATAGAGAGATGGATCCACTTTCGTGCTATCGTCATATTTTGAAATCTTTGTTCCACACCCAATGGGAGTACTCACTGGATTGCAATTTTGCATTTTGAATCTTTCAAGAACTTTCTTTACATAAGCTTCTTGAAAAATAAAAATGTCATCTCCATTTTATTTTACCTCAATTCCAAGGTAGTATGACATGAGCCCAATGTCAGTCATCTCAAATTCTTGAGCTATCATTCTTTTAAATTCATCAAACATGTTTTCATTGTTGCCGGTGAAAATCAAGTCATCAACGTACAAGCATACAATCATAAAACCTCCAAATGCATCCTTTTTAACGTAACTAACATACTTATGTGGACATTTGATGAATCCATGATCTTGAAAATACTTGTCAATCTGGCTATACCATACTCTAGGCACTTGCTTCAAGCCATATAGCGCCTTCTTCAACTTCAAAACTTTATCTTCATGCTCCTTGACAACATAACCCAATGGTTGTTGAACGTACACTTCTTCTTCAAGGTATCCACTCAAGAAAGCGGACTTGATGTCCATTTGATAAATTTTTCACTTATTTTGAGCTGCCAAGGAAATGATTAATCGAATGGTTTCCAAGCGAGCAATGGGGGCAAAGACCTTTTCATAGTCAATGCCATGCTTTTGGCTATAACCTTTGGCAACAAGTCTTGCCTTGTATTTCTCCACCTCTCCTTGAGTATTTTTCTTTACTTTGTACACCCATTTCACGCCAATTGCTTTTTGCTCTTTGGGAAAAGAGGCTAGCTCTCGTGTATTGTTCTTTTTTATTACTCGAATCTCCTCATCCATTGCATGCCTCCATTTCTTGTCTTTCATTGCCTCTTCAAAGTTCAATGGCTCGATGTCAGCGAAGAGACAAAACAAAGATGGATTATCAACAATTTCACTTTCTTCATAAATTTCTGCAAGATTTCTGATACGATTCGGTCCTTTGGAAGGACTATCATGAGGAGATTGAGGAGTAGGAGCAGGAGAATGTGGTGGAGTGGCATCTTCACTTGCATTTTGGCTAGAGTCTCCTTCTTGGAAAGGAAAAATCACGTATTCTTTATTTTTCGAAACATTCCAATCCCACGAACTTCCTTCGTCGAATTTCATGTCTCTACTAATAAAAATCTTTCCATTGCAAGGATTATAAAACTTGTAGCCTTTAGAGTTTGCATCATAACTGATGAAAACAAACTTCTCACTTTTCTCATCAAGTTTTAATCTCTTCTCATCTTGCACATGAATATAGGTAATACTACCAAAAACACGTAAATGAGAAACATTAGGTTTCTTACCACTCCAAGCTTTTCTTGGAGTCATGGCTTGAACACTCCTTGACGGGGAAAGATTAGACAAATACATGGCACATGCAACAGCCTCGATCCAAAACTCCTTCTCCATACTCTTGCTCTTAAACATACTACGAACCATGTTGAGGATGGTTCTATTCTTCCGCTCTACAACACCATTTTGTTGCGGTGATCTTGGAACTGTAAGGAAATGCCGAATTCTATTGGTATCACAAAAATTGTTAAACTCCTTGGAAGTGAATTCTCCACCTCGATCCGTCCTTAATGCTTTGATTGAGTTGCCACTCTCATTTTTAACAAGGGCTTTGAATTTTTTAAATGCTCCAAAAACTTCATCTTTCGTCTTCAAAAAATAAACCCAGGTCTTGCGAAAAAAATCATCAATAAACAGTAAGAAATAATTTGCTTTACCATGAGAAGGTGGTTTGATTGGCCCGCACACATCTGCATGGACAAGTTGGAGTGGCTTTGTTGCTCTTGAGGTGGATTCATTTGGAAAGTTTCTTCTAGTTTGCTTACCAATGAGGCATCTTTCACCAAGTAGATTGGGATGATTAATTTTTGGCAACCCATTCACGATTTCTTCATTCGTCAAGGTCTTCAAGCCATCAAAATTTAAATGACCAAATCTTAAGTGCCAAAGCCAATAATTATCTTCAACACAAGCTTTTAGACACCTTGGATGGTCAACATTAACATTGAGTAAAAACATTCTATTCTTCTCCATTGGCACCTTTGCAATCAGTTTATGAAAAAAATCTCTCAAAGGCAACGATTCTTCAAGTAAATGTCATAGCCATTCTCAAGTAATTGTCCCAGACTCAAAATATTAGACTTCAAGGTAGGTACATAATAAACTTGAGAAATCAAAAGATGACTTCCATTTTTAGCAAGAATAAGAACATCGCCTTTGCCTTTTATTGGAACTTTAGTTTCATCTCCAAAAACAATGTTGTCTTTTACCGACTCATTTATTATTGAGAATAACTCCTTGTTGCCACTCAAGTGATTGGCGGCACCGGTGTCAAGATACCACGATTGTTTATCCTTTTCTTCTTTGGTTGCCAACAACAGCAAAAATTCTTCATCTTCCTTTGCTTCAACATAATTCACTCTCTCTTCATTATTTGTAGTGTCATTCCTACATTCGGAAGCATAGTGACCATATTTATGACAAGTGTAACATTGAACATTGGAATTGTCATATCTTCTTTCGCCACCTCTTTTGGAGCCATAGTTCCAACGCCCTCATCCTCTCGAGTGATTGCTTGATCCTTCATTATTCAAATTTTGTTTTTCATCATTTTTTTCATTACCACGACCATAATTTCCTCCGCGACCACGACCACGACCTCGACCATGAATTTGACATCTTCCTTGAGATCGTCCTTGCTCTTTCAGTTGACCTCCCAAGGAGACATTCGTTTGGAGAACTTGAGCTACATGTTCTCCTCTCTTCTTCAATCTTTCTTCATATGCTTGCAAGGGCCCCATGAGTTGATCAAGGGTCATGGTATCCAAGTCATTAGACTCTTCAGTGGCAATACTAACAAACTCATGTTTTGACTCAAGTGATCTAAGAATTTTCTCAATGACATGACTTTCTGCAATATTCTCCTCGTACCACTTCATATGATTGGCAGTGGAGGACACTCTAGTGGAATAGTCAAAGACAGATTCAGACTCTTTCATGTGCAGAGATTCAAACTCTCCATGAAGGATTTGAAGGTGCACCTTCTTCACTTTTTCAATTCCCTTGAAATTGTTCTCGAGAATCTCCCAAGCTTCCTTAGCTTTTGTAGAGGACGTAACTTTCTCGAATATGGCTTCATCTAAGCCCGTGTAAATAATAGAGAGAGCGTGTTGATCTAACTTGCAATACCTTTGCAAGGCATTCCTTTGAGCTTGACTTAAAGCTCCTTCATTTTTTGGTTCATCATAGCCTTTCTCTACAACTTCTCATGCCTCTTGTGAGCCAAGCAACGCCTTCATGCGTATGCTCCAATGTCCATAATTTTCCTTTGTTAGTTTGGGAACAACAAAAGAAAATGAACTATTCGTCTTTGAAATGGCTCTGATACCACTTTGTTGGAAATAAAAAATTATGGGATGAAAAACTAGAGAGAAAAATTCAAAGAATTCTAAAAAATATTTGTATTCTATGGCTTAACTCTATAAAATGTCTCAAATACAAGGCCTTTTATAGGTACAATGGATCCCAAATAAATTGTATGAACTTAATAGACTAATTAATGACTTTTCCTACATACTATGAATAATAGGATACAAAGAACCATTTGGATACATGATTTAAATAAATGCATGAATATTAAATAAACTAATTCATGTATCAATTTTTTTTTTTCATCATTCATGAATCAAGTTTAATTTCCAATGGTATGTCAATTGTCATGAAGGAAAAGCAACAGGTTCTTTCCATCATCTGCTTTTGCTTTTCCATATAGTCCCTTTTTTATCTCTTTCCTCCAAAGTAGTTACCTCCTCTATTTGTCAGTTCTTCTCTCCTTTTCCTTTTTCAAGTTTTGCTCCTTGGTCCTACATTACTTCGCATCTTCTACGTTGCAGCTCATTAGTTTATGTATGTCAAATTTATTACAGAATTTTTGCATGTAATTAATGATTAGTGCTAACACTTAGAAAAATGCTCATCTTATATTTCGGTTGAAGAGGATATCTCATGATTAATATTTGTGTTTTAGTTAAATACAAATTCTAAAAGGATCCAATATAATTTAATGAAAATAAATATTAGTGGACGAATTTAGAAAGATATATTTTTAGTTAGTTTCGTCTATGTCTATTTATGTAAATTTACAAAAAATAAAATAAAATATAATATAATTATCATTTTAAAAGTGAATGTACATATAAAAACCGTGAATGTAAATAACGGCTCAATAATTATAATTCAATTAAAATCTTCGCATTTTGGGGACTAACTGCTCCTTGTCATTATAGTCTCATCTCATCTTAATTTTATCAAAACAAGCACTTATATTATCAAATCTTTCAGAGTGAACTATTCTTCATTTGTTGATACATAATTTTGTAGGCTAATGATATTAGTTATTTTAAGTGATAAAATTATAAATTTTTTATCATTAATAATAAAGTTATGAATTTTATTTTCTATATTATCCTCTGGAAAAGCACTTCTTATGAGATGATATGACATTTTCGTGTCCAGGCAATGGCTTTCGAGGAAGGATGAAACCGGACTGTATAACAGTTGCTGGAAATCTGATAATGAAATCACCGGCTCCATAAATGACGCATTCTCGATAGTATTGGCGAAGAGAGTCTGAGTAGAGAGAATCTTGATAGCCTTCAATGCTGGATATGTAGAACACTGATTGATCAGAAGCTGAATATATAGCAACAAGTTGGTTCTTGATTGCAACGGCTGTATTCTGAAGACTGAAATGCCATTTGTCGAACAATAAATCCCTTGCCGTAAATAGATGCATGGGAAAAGCAATGCTCCCTTTTAAGTAATTTTTGTTTTCAAACACATTTGCGCAATTATTATTATTATTATTATTATTATTATTATTATTATTATTATTATTATTATTAAGTTTTTTTTCTTCTTTACTTATAAATAAATATTTTGATCTTAACCAGAAATGCACTAATTACAAAGTTTGGTTGTGCTTAAAAAACGCTTTATTCGTTGAGCAACATAGGTCAAAAAATTAGATATGAGGAAAGAACTGTATGGGATAAGGTTGAATCACAAGAAATCAAAACATGTTCAACCTCATCCAAAAGTTTGTTGGATGATTTATAACTTGCATTATTATTATCATTTATCATGTATCATTATCTTGTATATTCTCATTTATCATGCATCACTATCTTGCATATCCTCACTTACTTTGTATTATTATCTTGTATCAGGTGTGTATAAATACAAATCATTCAATTCTCTCATCTCTATCTTTTCCCCTATTTACGTGGTATCAAAGCCCTTCTCCAACGAGCAAAATTTTTGTCAATCTTCTAGAATCTCCATAAATAACACAGCTAACAAACCTATGTCTACTGAAACCATAATAACAAGTGCTTCCACGGTCACGTTACCAACCGACTCTTCCCTAACCTCTCTTCTTCAAATTAACACAGCATCTCAAATTTTTCTCAAGCTAACATCTACTAACTATTGTTCATGGAAAGCACAATTTACATCTGTACTCTGTGGACTCAATCTCCTTCATTTTGTCAATGGCTCCTCTACCACTCCACCTAAAACAATCACCACCGAGGGTGTATCTCTTCCCAATCCTACATGTATGCCTTGAATGCGCTAAGACCGGTAACTACTTCTCCCTATTCTTGCCTTTCTAACGAAATCAATCATCCATCTTATTTCCTTCACTACTACAAATCATGATGCCTGGTCCTGACTTTATCGAATCATTGCCAAAAGGTCTTAGTTACATAATATCCACCTCAAGGATACACTTTCCCAAATGACCTGTGGTACTTAAGAGTGTTGCTGATTTTTTTTTACTAAAGATAAAGACTGTTGCGGATGAAATTAGCACCATTGGTGTACCCCCAAGTGATGAAGATCTTCTTATTTACTGCACTCAGTGTTCTAAAAGGCATAATCCGTGGCGATACATTGAGGCCAAGCTATGGGCAACGCGAGTTTAGGCGAGACTTAGGCGAAAAAAAGCTTAAAAAGGTGTTTTCTTATTTTAATATTATTTTAATTTTTAATAAAACAAAAAATTATTTAACATTTAAAAATAATACTTACTAAATCTCCAACTCTAAACCTTCTTGTCTTGACCTTGTTATTGAAGTACTTGCTATTCTGTTCTAATAATTTGCAGTTCTGAGTGATGCCTGCTCTCTTACTTCTTCAAGCAAGTCAAGATGTTCAGTGGTTTGTTCCTCCACATTTGTCTCGAACTTCTTTATCGTTGCGAGGTTGATTGGGATGGTAGCTTCAAGTCCAAAGGCTAACATAAAAGGTGTCTCGCCAGTTGCGGTCTTATGTGAAATTTTGTACGCCCAAAGTATGGAAGGCAGCTCATCTGGCAAGTTATTTTTCGCGTCCCCAATTCTTGTTCAAAAATCTTGGAGTATGATCTGATTATTACTTCAGCAAGGTTATTACTTTGCAGGTGCGATACAGAGGTCAAGTGTTAAGTGGTGATCAATCCCAAGGTTGGCACAAAAATTTCTGAACTGTGGATTGTCAAACTACCTCCCATTATCCGTTATGAGGACCTTTGATACTCCAAACCTGCATACAATGGACTTCCATATGAATGATCTGAGTTTGGGCTCCGAGAGTGTTGCCAGGGATTCAGCCTCTACCCATTTTGTGAAGTACTCAACTACCACAGCCACAAACTTTAATTGCCCTCTGGCCAAGGGGAAAGGTCCAAGAATGTCAACTCTCCATTGTTGAAAAGAGCTGAGTAATGGATGGAAGTTAACTCTTCAGCAAGAGCATGTATGATATTATATAACTTTTGGCACTTGTCGCACTTTTGAACATAATTTGCTACATTTTTTTCATACTTGGCCAGTGATACCCATACCTTATCAATTTATATGCAAGAACTCGGGCTCCTTGATGGTTTCCACACACACCTTCATGAACTTCAGTCAAGGCTTGAAGAGACTCAGAAGATTTGAGGCATCTCAAATAAGGGAGTGTGAAACTCCTGCGAAACAAAATTCCCCCAATGATACAGTACCTTGCAGCTCTAGACCGGATACTTCTGGCAACCCTTGGATCAGATGGTAGGTTTCCACTGCTTATGAATTCAACTATCGGATCCATCCAAGAGGGTTCATGATCAATATCCATGACGCTTGTCTTTTGAGTTATGCTAGGCTCGGTTACCATCTTGATGTGCACTATTCTATCAAGTCCATCTACTCCCATAAAGACAAGTTTGGATAATTCATCAGCTTTGGCATTGTCGGCCCTGGCTACTTTAAAAGTTTCACAACTGATGAACTACCTCTGAAGGTCATGTACTTTTAGACAATATAAATTCATCTTTTCATCCTTTCTTTCAAAAGACCCCTCAATTTGCCCGACAACTAGCTGTGAGTCACTGAAAGTTTTAACATGCTCCAGCTCGAGATTTTTAGCAAATTCCGAAGCTATGAAAATAGCTTCATACTCTACCCCATTGTTAGTGGCCTCAAATTCAGATCTGAGCGCACATTGTATTTCTGTGCTCCTGTCAGGGCTTGTAATGATGACACTGGTCCCCGAGCTTGAATTGTTGGATGCCCCATCCATAAAGATCTTCCATATTTTTGAGGTCATGCTCGGTTATTTATCCTTCACCTCTTGGGACCTTAGGGTGAGTTTTGCTATGAAGTCGGCCAAAGCTTGAGCCTTGATAGGGGGTTGCGGTCTGAACTCTATGTCAAATTCTCCAAGATCAATTACCCACTTCAACAATCTTCCTGGGGTGTCTGGTTTCTGAAGTATGTGTCTAAGAGGTTGGTTGGTGAGTACAACGATTGGATGTGACTGGAAGTATTGCTGTAACTTTCTTGCAGCTACTACCAAAGCCAGAACAAGTTGTTCGGCAAGTGTGTATCATGTTTCGCATCAAGGAGTATCTTTCTTACATAATAGATAGGTTGCCGGACCTTCCCTTTTTTCCTTCACCAGCACTCTACTTACTGCGTTCTAGGAAACAGCCAAATACAATAACGTGTCCTCGGGCTCTGATTTGGTAAAAACCAAAAGTGTTGTTAATGCTTGCTTGACCTCTTGGAAAGCTAGATCACATTCTTTATTCCAATCAAAACTTTTATTTTCCCTAAGTAATTTGAAAACAGGAAAGCACTTGTCTACTGCTCGGGAGACAAATCTGTTCAGTGCTGCTATATGACCTGTCAATTTTTTAATGTCTCTTTTGCACTTAAGGGGCTCCATAGACATCAAAGCTTGGATTGTATCAGGATTAGCCTCTATCCCTCTATGTGTGATCATAAAATTCAAGAATTTATCTGACGCTACTCCAAATGCACATTTTGCAGGGTTACGCTTCATGTTGTACCACCGCAGTGTGGCAAATACCTCTTCAAGATCAGAGATATGGTCATTCACTTGCTTGCTTTTAACCACCATATCATGTATGTACGCCTCAACAGTTTTTCCGATTAAGTCGATCAAGACTTTGTTGACAAACCTTTGATATGTCGCCCTTGCGTTCTTCAGTCCAAAAGGACCATGTAACAACAGATGGCTGAATCGGCTATGAATGATGTCTTCTCCTGATCTTCTTCGGCCATGAGTATTTGGTGATACTCAGAGAATGCATCCAAGAAGCTGTACAGCATATGACATGACATGCTGTTAACAAGATTATCGATCTGAGGCATGGGATAACTATTTTTAGGGCATGCTTTATTCAAATCTGTGAAGTCAATGCAAACACGCCACTTTCCATTAGCCTTCTTGACAAGAACTACATTAGCAAGCCAATTAGGGTATTTCACTTCTCGAATGAACTGCGCATTAGCAAGCTTAGCAATCTCTTCCTTTATGACTTTTTACCTTTCAGGTGCAAACTGTCTTTTCCCTTGCTTGACAGGTCTTGGCTTCGAATTTACATTGAGTTTGTGCACTATTACCTCTAGGTCAATCCCAGGCATGTCCTCGACATTCCAAGCAAATACATCAATATTTCGGGAGGGACAACTCATAAGTTCAACCATGACTGCTACATCAAGCTCTCGTCCGATATTCACTTTCCTTCCAGGCTCGAGCTCGAGTCGTCTTTGATCTTCCAGACACTGGTCACATAATATTGTCGTGCCACTATTTGGCTTCCTCGAACCACCCAATCCCATTACTCGTATGGAGCTTCATAGTTAAGTGAAAAGTTAAGATAATGGCTTGAATTCTATTAAGCAGCAGCTTTCCCAGTATGGCGTTGTAGGCCATTGGAGTACGGACAACTTCAAAGGTTGTGATCTGCGTCACTTGCTTACCTTTCGATCCCAATGTTAAGGGTAACCTGACGATACCTTCTGGGGTAATAACTCCGCCTCCAAACCCCTAGAGAGGTGTTTTAACTGGCTTGAGCTATTCTATTGAGATACCCATTTGAACAAAAGCCTCATGGAACAATACATTAGTAGCACTTCCTTTGACTACCAAAATTCTCTTGACCTCAAAGTTGACAATGATGGCTGATATAACTAGAGCATCATCATGATGGAATGATATGCCTTCTAAGTCACTTGCCCCTAAAGTGATGTCCTCCGTAGAATCAAGATCTGTCTTTGAGACGGTTGGAGATTGCCTGGCATGCTACTTGCGCCTATTGCTAGAATCTTCCTCGAAGGCTGTCCTTCCAACAATAATATTGATAGTACCTACAGTAGGTTGCTTGTTTTCCCGATCCTCTGGGACCTTGTCTCTATTCTGACTGTTCCTTGGGCACTTATCATTACTAACGTAAGAGCCCAAGAATTCTCTTTTTATAAGAGCTTCAATCTCACGCTTTAAAGCAAAACAATCCTCCGTTGTATGCCCATGGTCTAAATGAAAATTACAGTACTTGCTCTTGTCATGAGTATCGGATGGAGACCGCAATCTAGGAGGCCAATTAAGCTACTTCAAGTCCTTGATCTCCATCAAAATGTTGGATCTCATGGTGTTTAAGCAGATGAAGGATGTTGATAGGGGGTATTGTCTTAGCTTGACTCAAGGGGCATCTTGTCGTAGATTAGACTCGTGGCCTTTTCTGATCAGACTTTCTTGATGATGAAATATCTCGTCTTGGGACCATGGTTTCTTCCATGTTGATGTATTTCTCAGCTCGAGTGAGCGACTCAGTTACTGACTTTGGAGGAGTTTTGGATAAGGACATTTTAGAGGAGTTTTAGATAAGGACATCTTGAATGCTTCACACCTTATTGCATATGTCAAAGTCGAGACCGCAGCTGTGATATGTAGATCGAGGATTTGAAGTCTTTTCTTATTGAACCTGGTCATGAAATTGTAAAGTGTTTCATTGGGCCCTTGACGCTTCTGTATGAGTGATGCTAATATCTTCCTGATTCCCTTGCTGCTTGCAAAGAAAGCAGAGAAATTATCAGCCTGATCTTAGAAGGAGGCAATAGAGTTGAGTTCCAGAGTGGAAACCCAATCTCTGGCTACATTAGTGAGAGTCTGAGAGAAGGCCTTGCACATCATCGCATCTGGTGCGACCTGTAAATTCATGATATCCGTATATACATTGAGGTGGTTGATGAGATCAATTGTCCCGTTATATTCCTTTATCCAAGGATACTTGAACCTATCCGGAAGGGGCTATGAGAGAACTTCTGGGGTGAACGGCCTGTTGGGTGTGAATCATGTTGTTGCTCGAGTATTTTGTTGCATACCCACTACTATCCCTTCTTGAATAATCCTAGGGAGTTCAGCGAAGTCCATTGTAACGGACCTTGAGCCTGAGACCATTTGCGGTACACCCGAAGTTCCAATCCCACCATCATCATGAGTTGTGCTTGGGACTCGAGTTCTGCCATAAAACCACCTTCATAAGTTGCAATATGTGACAGGTGTGAATTTCTCTAACTCAACAATTGGGTTAATACGGCAACTTGCTTATGGAGTTCCTCAAAGGCTCTAGTGGATACAACGGCTCGGGGAGGCACTGGCATCTCTAATGATTCTTCTTGAGGGACATGGCATTCCTCGGGAGGGGAAGGGTTGTCTGGAACGGATGAGCTTGCTGGAGGAAGACCTGAACGTGTATTAACCATGGCTTTTGGTAGCACTTCCCATAGACGACGACAATGATGCTACCAAAAAATCGTACCTGATAGATCATGAATTGAATGTTTGAACTTCGAACTTAGATGAACACGAACTACCTGAAACAAAGGCAACGATGTGTGTTCTCATCGTCCCTCCAATGCTTAAGTCAGATGGGGAATTTAGTGCGTAATGCTATGAATTGGATATAATGAAAACGTGCCTGGGTAATGAACTTTGGCCTTGTATTTATAGGTGGTGGTGGTAGAGTTGCGGTAGGATTTAACCACATACAATCCTTATCCTTATTGTGTAAGGTGTTTGAGTTCTATTGAAAGTGTACTGTTGGAAGTTGAGTCAAAATAGGAGTAGGTCAAAACGGTTAGAATAAGGATGCTAAGGAGTTGTAGTTAGAATGGGCTAACATTTTCAGGAATTACGTCAAGGGATTAATGATTTTATGCGCACAATAATGCCCGACCTATTTTCAGCAGGCCCGACCTCATTTGTGAGGGATTCAGAGGGGAACAAGGTGGTGGGTGATAGGTCGAGTTCGGGTTTGAAGAGTGTTGAGTCATCACTAATATTATTTTCTTCCCGGTGGCCTCATTTGTAAGCTCCTTCAGAAAAAGTGGAAACAGAAACTATATCAACTAGTTTCAAGATTATTTTCCCGTTTTACTAAGCATAGAGGTTAGACTGTAGAGTTTTAAAGGTTGTCGTTAAGCACTTGATGAATGGACTAAAATTTGTATTGTGTGTGTCTCAATATTATGTAGTTTCTAACACTTTCAGAAAAGGTAATTTATTGAACACAATAGACAGAAGAGAGGAATCATACGAGGAAAGTACGACAAAAGAAATATAACGGCTCAGTTTCTGAATTAAGAATTCGTATGGTAATTTCCATACAATAGCTAAAGCTGCTGCTCTAAACCAAACTTTAGAACAATTGTCATGGTTTTCCAAGCATTCTATTCTTAAATTTGATTTTAATTTTATGACCCGTACTAGGTTGGCGTGCACCTGCACTGTCTTCCGTTGTGTTTACATATGCTGAGGCACTGGCTTCACTTGGTTTCGTTTTAGTTGCAGGATCTTCCGCCATTTCTGTTCTACTTCTGCTGGAGTTTTTATTGTTACCCAATTTCAATGGAGATGGCTGCTTAGCTTCCCCATTGAAGGGTGCTCCTCCACCCTCATTAATTCGCAATCCAACTGAATCCACAGTTTTTGTCTCACCGTAGAGGATTTTAGCCATTTCTTTCTCTTTCCGCTTCTTTTCCTTCTTCAGTCGCTTTCGTTCAAGGTGCTCTGGATCACCATCATTGTCATTCCTCTTTCGCTTCTCCTTCTTCTTCTTCTTCTTCTTCTCGTTTTTTATCTTATCCTTTTCTCTACTAGAGGAATGAATGATGTTGGTAGCCAGTGGAGGTAAATTAGTATTTCCATGGCTCGGCATTTCCAAATCATTTTTCATGGTGCTACTAGGCAAGTGATCATCAGGTAGAAGCGGCAAAGAAACTTTACTTGAATCTGCAGTGCATTGTAGTTCAGTGGCCAGTTTCGCACTGCCAATGCTAGCAGTTACTCTAGATCCAACATCATGGCTAGAATTGACATCATCAAGGTTCTGATTGCTTGTGCTAATATTCTCGATGAAATTTCTTTGGGGTGCATCAACAGAAACTGAGCTGCTCGCTCCATGATCAGCATCAGCGCCCCCATCTTGAGATCGTATCTGTCTACCATTATCAGGTTCCTCTGCCCGACTGGATGCTGCAGAATGCTTGACCCTAATCTTAAGCTTTGGCTTCTTTGGTTCACGACTTCTGTAAACAGTATTATCTGCCTCTTTCGGAACTTCAGCAATGACTGCAGAATCATGCCCCGGGTCAATACCGGATTCCCTTTGTGGATGAATGTCAAATGAAGTGTCAGCTTCTCTTGAAGCCTCGGGAACAATTGAGTTATCACATACGATGTCAGTGACTTGCTTCATGTCATTACTTTCAGATAAAGTGGGCACTTTGCTAATCGTGATCGGACCATCTTCACCATGGTGCAACACTGGAATATGAGAGAGAGAATCTGCTGTCCTGTAAGCATCCATTGTTGCTGAACCAGTAGGTGTGGTACAGGTAGCTCCGATAGTCTGATCATGATTTTGAGGATAAGTATTTACTTCCTTGGAAACTTCTGGAACCAAAATATCACCTGGAAGTTCAAAAGTATCTGAACATGGCTCTGGAGGATTAGATTGCTTAACAAGAGCAGCGAAAATGTTTTTAAGTTCACTGCAAGTTTTTGCATGCCCCATCCTCAGTGTTTCATCTCTTGGAACCCCATACAGGGTTGGAGCCCTATATACAAGAGAAATATTTAGACAAGTTCCCAAAATTCCGGAGACTGGAACCAGATAATCAAACCATATAACTCCATCATATGCTACGCCATTAATGATAAAACAGATAAGCAAATAGGACTTCAAATCAGAACGCGTGAGATAAAATAAAAAATAAAAAAAGCACATATATTGATTGATAAACCTGTTAAGCTCATTAGAATTTCATCATATAAAATTCCCATATATGATATATCTATCAGAAAATGCTTAAAACAGCCAAGGACGAATCTATTTTTCTTGTTTCCCGTCCTCAACATAGAATAAAAGCATTCTCACTGTCAGCATTTAAGATACAAGGATAATACCTTCTTTTTCAAATCCTCCCTCCAGCTAAATTACTTTCTAGTATTAATTTTTCGAAGTTAATGTATAAAAGAATATACCTTGATTTTAGTTTCCATTATCAAGTTACACAAAAATAACCAGTCATGATTGAGACTGGAACTCATGATTCTTGTTAGCAGAAAGCTATGTATTTGTGTATAACATAAATCCTACCAGAAAGATGTTCAATAAATATTGTCATTTAATTAAGTGTATAATGAATTCCGTGTCTAACAATCAGGTGCATGCAATAATAAGTCGAGTTATTAAGAGAATGCAAGCATGGACACCTTCCAGCAAGAACTTGCAAAATGCAGAAAATGTAGTGACGAAGAATAACGTTGTTAAAGGCCAGGGGGCTCTCAAGCAAGCGAAGCATGGCCACGAGTGTGTCACTATTTACATCATTGCCAGGATCAGATGGATTTTGCATCTGACATAAGCGCAAGGCATGGACACCTAATTTAACTTGCCCTGTAATCAAGATAAGAAATTTCTTCAAGTTGTATACTTAGGCCTGATAAGGTAAACAAGATCTACCAACCATAACAAAAGAACATCATTAGCGAAAATTAGATCCATGAATGCGATTTTTTAGAAATCATAAATATGTGAGAGAACTGGGAGGACAGTAGACAAGAGGGGGAGGACAAAAAAAGAATGGCAATATGGAACTTGAGTTCATGAAGTATAAACCTCTCAGAGACATCTCGTCATTTAGGTATCTGATGAATAGTACTAGTACTGCATCCATTCCTCTGCATTGATACTCAAGGTCAAGGAGTGCTCTGCATGCTTCAATTCGAATTTTCCACATATTCGATCCCCGAAATGGTTTAATAAGTTCAACAACATGATCCTGCAAGCATAGGCAGGTTCTTCATCAGAAATGGTAGGTTCTTAAGAATGGACACTGTCTAATAGGAGAAAACTTACAAGAGGTATGAATTCTGACAGCTTGAGTGCAATTTGAGTCAATGACTGGATACAGCTATTTGTTAAAATCCCATTGTGGCTTGGCATCAACCTATTTGTCATTTGAAAAACAATGAGTACATTATAAACTGAAGTATGTTATTTTATCCAATATTCGATAAGTGATACCTGTCAAATTGCAAAAGCCGGTCAAGTCTCTTGAGAAGGGGTGATAAGTATACAATACTCTGCCACAGAAACAACAAGTACCACAATATAAGCTGTGAAAAAGAAAATAATTACAATATATGCAGCACACAAGGTTCATGGCTAAAGTGTAGTTTGATTGCTTCATCTCAACGAAGCAATTATAGTATCTGAAATAAAAATCCTTCATAGATGCACAATAAAACATCAGGGTTGTTTAAGAGTTCAAGTTCAAATGTAACAAGCTCCCATCAATGAGTGAATTTTCAAATTCAACAGAGCTAGTTTGAAAATTTCCAATGGATGAACAAAAATCCTGAGAAAGGTTTTCATTTGTCTATCAATACAAACAATCCCATCTAAATTATATAAACTACATTATGGAATTTAGACCAGATAAACAAAAAAATTGGGTTAAGCTGTATGAATGAAGAGCATACAGCGGCAAATCAAATACAGAGGTCTGGTTATCTATATTTACACCCCAAGTTGAGAGGGACTAAGGGAGTATTACATATATTAAGGGTATGCAGAACTTTCTGTGGGTCTCCAACCTATAAATGCACCATGAGTGCCGGTAAAGAATATACTTCTGCTCTGTACCACTCTTTCCTTTCTTCTTTACCTTACTTTCTGAACTTCAAACTAATTTCCGGTTTCCTCCACTATATGACACCTTTCAAATTGAATGAAACCAAGTAACTAAAGTGGCAACATATGGACCGGTATCCAAAAATAATCAGAAACTGATATCTCAGTCTGAAAGTATATATTTATCCCTATCCCCCATGTGCAAGCAAAACAAAAGGAAAATTGGAAAAGGCTCCAATAATAGAACTGATAAGATTCCCCCTACTGCTGAAGTGGCAGTGATGAATCTATGCTACAGAGGGATGTCCAGTTGATGCTGCTGGTTCTACAGGTCAATTTCTGGGTCTACTGGAGATGCTGCTTTGGATTGGCTATTGTTCTTCTCTACGACAAGAACCAATTATAGGTTATTCACTAGGACAGAAATTGATACGTAATTGGATTGCAGGGTTGTGAATACAGAGCAGCTGATTAATGTAATTAGTAGAACAGGATCTGTAAGATGAATGCTAGGAGACGATTGGAATTGTAATGGCAACAAACAGATGAATGATCTTTATTATTTACTGGAATGAAAGATATGAAAAGTATACAAATCACAGGCTATTTGAGAGGCCTGATCTCTCCACTGTTTTCTTAACATCTCACTGCATGAATGAAAATCCCAGCTCCTCCTTATCATATTTATAGACAATCTACTAGCTTTCTATTACCCTTTTACCCTTTGGCTACATGAAACACTCTAGAAAGTTGATGACTTTGCTGCAACCTGATTGGATATTTATCAAGAACCTAGAGGGGGATTTAAGGATCCAGAAAAGTGAAAAAAGCCTCAAGATAATGCATTACGTCTTACCACTAAAAAATAACCACCTGGACCTTCAACCTAGTAGAGCCAACGCAAATAAAACATAGCCAATTCCATCATTGTTTCCCCATTAACTTTTCTTTTTCCTGCTCTTTTTATATCTTCCTCTCCTTGAAGATGATTAATCATTGATTCATCATCAAAGAAATTTGGGGAAAATGAAAAAGAAAAAGAAAAAAGAACACAAGGAAATGGAAAATGGGGAAAGAAGAAACATCAATGAGAAAAAATAAAAATAGAAACAACATTGAAGCAAACAAGGTATATACCTGTTGTCCAAATTCAAGTTCACCAACAGACTGGACCAATGCAGCAAGCCAGTAGACATCAGAATATGGATTGCCATTGTTGTCATTGTACTACAAGCAAATCAAAATCATAAAAACAAAATGTGATGATATAATTAATATACAGGAATCAGAAAACGTGATACAAAAGAAATCAAAGAACATCAAGGCACTGGAATCAGAGTGAATAAATTCAACATTAGTTGAGCAGGATGTCTTAGGACTCCTCAAGAGTCAAGAGTATATGTTACTAGGTCTGTTGTTCACGACCAAATAGTGGTCCAATAAGAATCATACTATTGGTGCATCATCTCTATGGTTTCGTTCAATTTCCTGTTTAGTTTACCCCACAAGTCATTCCCATACCATACAAAAAATTGAACATTACCATACCAAAAAAGAGAATTTGGATTAAAATTTTCCAACTTATTTTTCAGTAATGAGATCTGCCTCTGTAACAAAATAAATTGCTATACTAAAAGAACGTAGTATAATTGATCCCTGCATGGATCCACTCGACATACAACCCAACAATATACTATGCCACTTGCACACCTGATATCCTTGCCTATCATGTTACGCCGGCTTAACATTCCACAAAAATGTCCATGAAACTTGTCACAGGCAATAAAATAATGAAAAGATACCTTCAGGAGTTGCAAAATAAACTCTACAGCTTCTCTGGGGCTTTTCTTGTCCGCGGCCCTGACCATAGCGATGGCATGTGGAATTGCCTATAATGAAAGCATAAAAAGAAAATTCAGCAAACAAAAGATGTCATATAGATGTTATTAATTCTCGTAAATACTTCATGCAGAAAGGGATTCGAAAATGGGTATAATAGATTGACAGTGTCTCTTACATTTTTTTTTCCTTTTTTTTTTTCATTAGAAACAGTAATTAATCATTACTTAAGATACAAATTCAACCAGAGGGGCAAAGATCTCTCTTTGAAATAAAGATAAACTAAGTTGGAAAGTAAAATCAAGAATGCATAACCACATTCTATCGACCAGGAACAACTAAAGATAAAGGAAAATCCTTAAACGCCTCGGTCATAGAAGCCAATAAAGAAGCCAAATCATAAATCACCAATCAATTGTTCTTTCGGGCCCAAATTATCTTTAAAAATAGCAAAACAAAAGCTTTCTACATAACACCATCTAACCTTCATGAGTAAAAAAATTCATAGATTTTAAAATAAACAGCTGGCTGCACCTTTAAGGAGAAACCTATTCAAAACCAGCTTCTATTAACTTGCATCACAAAAATGTAGCAACATCATGTTGCAAGAATATATTATTGACAATTCGCTTTCCTCCAAGACATCACACAACAAGAAGGATAAAGAATTAATAAAAACATAATAAAATGTCGAGGGCAATTCAGAAAAGGACGAAGCCAAGAGGGGATGACCCCAGTAAACATCTTCCTAAAGAAAGGTCAAATATTTCAAGGTTACAATATCCACTAGAACAACCAAACCAAGATGTCAAATTCAGAACAAAACACTAGTCAACAATGATTCCTACTTCCAAATAAGACATGATCAGGACATCTTAACATTAAATATTCCTTTAGTGGTATAAAAATGAGCCTCTGGAGTTTGAACAAGGAGAAAATGTGATCGGCAAATTGTAAGTAATGTTTTGCATATTATAATGGATATGTAAGTAACGAGAATATATGCCACGAAACAGAGATTCCACTAATTGGAGATGAGTTAAAGGAACGGAAACCAAGTTGATTGGGGAATGTATGATGTAGCAAGTAGAAAAGATTAAGAGAGATATTGGCCAAAATTAACATGGCATTATGTGCTAGCAAAGGGTTTGATTAAATTAGTTGTTTCAATATATATAGCAGGAAACTTGACATGACAGAAAAAAGAAATCATGTGGCCAACCCCAACTCAACCAAGGATAAGGCTTAGTTTGTCATTGCATTTCTGATGAAAATCTTTATGGGCAACCATCTAATGTTGCTTCTCCACTCATTACTCGCTGATTTTATCATTGCAAAATACGTTGCAGATCAAAGCCAACATTTGTATTATTTAAACAACGGGGGATAAGAAGGGCAACGCAAGAGGAGGAGAAAAATTCTCTCTCCTAAGAACAACCTCACCGTTTACAACAGTCATATATATGACTATTTTTTTTTATTTTTTTTTGCTGGGAATGATAACACCAGTCAAATATATTTTGATTGGAAAATGACCATTAGTAGGGGTCATGTATGTAAATAAAGAGAGAAAGAAGATCGTAAAAGATTTACAAGTTCATTTCAAATTTGAGCAATCACCCTTTTATACAGACAAAACGATAGAGAAAGAGATAGACCAGCATTGCAATTAATCAACTCTGCCTTAGGTAAAGAATTTATGCATATTTCCATTAGGAAAAGTGATGTAGCACGGAAGTATTAAATACACAATTCATAAAGAATACCACAAAATATTCGTTCGTTCTTTAAGAAGACAGAATATTCGATTTGATCAACAAATCATTAATTTGAGACCCAATATTAATATGGATTGAAAACTAGAGAAAATCTCAACAATATTGTTTTATCTCAATTCAAAAAGAACTTTTTTTTTCCATTAAGACTACAACCCATATATTTTTTATAGGTAATCAAATATTTTATTACACGGAAATCAGAAAGTGTATTATCAATTTAAATCAGAAAGAAACAACATGAAATTTGACAGTCCGTCTATATACCTAGTAGCCGTAGCATTAAACAAATTATACAATGTCAAATAAAACAATTATCTAATCTGTTCTGTTGTTCATGTTTGATCATCAAAACAGCGCCTATTTCTTTCTCTCCACACACCAAACGATGCAACCCAAAATAAGGTCCCATACAAACTTGCTTTTATTACTGCGAAACATTCTCCTTCATGCCTTCAACACATCTTTCATACGCCCATGTCAACACCCAATCCATGTGTTGAGAGACCATAATATCGTTCCACAGCAAACGAGTAGCATCGTGATGAAGGAACAAGTGGTCAATCATCTCCCCATCCCTCCTACACATATAACACCACTCTGGAACATGAAACCCTTTGTTCGGAGATTATCCATTATTAACATATGTCCACTGACAACCGTCCATAGTAAAAATACCCCCCTTTGAGGGAATTTACATTTCATACCATCTTTCAAGGGAATGAGCTCTCCAAAGATCCCATTAAGAATCTAAAATAAGTGCCGACTGAAAAGATACCATCCGTGTCAACCTCCACTTACTACAATCCCATTTTCCTATCCTGATGTGCACCTCATACAAAGATGCCAAAAGCAACGCATAATCATCTACTTCTCAATCCTACAAACCTCGCCCGAAAACAATGTTCCAATTGAGACTTCCGTTATATGTATCTAAGACCTCACTCACCTTAGTAGATGGCACCAAAGCAATACAATACAAAGTGGGAAACCCCACCCTAAGCGGTTGCTCTCCATGCCAACAATAATCCCAAAAACTAATAGTATTACCATTACCCACCGCAAGAGTCAATCTATCTATCCAAAAAATCGTTCCAACCTCGCCAGATATACCATCACACACTCACCCAGTAAGAATCACAGGCCTCGAACAAGCACATCCTCCCTCCATAACACCATATTCTGCCCCTATAATTTCTCTCCAAAACTCTCCCTCTCCACTCCAAATCGATACAACCACTTATCCAACAAGGCCTTATTAAACAATATAAGGCTCCTCAATTTGAGACCCCTTAATGGGAGAACAAACTGCACCCTAGTTAACTAAATGTAATTTCCTCTCCTCCCTAGAGAAACTCCTTTTGAATCCTCTCTAATCTTTTCACCACTACTGAACGAATAGGAAACAACGACAAAAAAATAAGTAGGAAGATTCGACAAGATAAACTTAATAAAGAGTAAGATTGCCTCCCTTTGAGAGGTACATGTGCTTCCACCCCACTAGCCTTCTCTCCACCCTTTCCACAATATTGTTCCAAATATGAATGCTTTTGAACTATGCTCTTAAAGGAAGCCCAAGATATGACATAGGCAACTACGCAGCTCTGTAGTCCAATATAGAAACTCCTTCACATTCTCAAACTCTCCCATTGTGATAGCCTCAGATTTTTCAAGATTTATCTTCAATCCGAATACAACCTCAAAGCACAAAAGTAAACGACGCAAATTTCTGAATTACTCAACATCTGCATCATAAAAGATCAACATATTATCTGCAAATAAAAAATGAGACACATACACCTAATCAATCATAAAGCCCCTTAACAAGGTCTCCATCACAACCTTCTCAATCATCCTACTAAAAGCCTCCATCACAATAACAAATAGCAATAGAGACAAAGCATCCCCTTACCTCAATCCTCTACTGCTCCGAAAATACATCCCATATTTATAACGACTAAATAACCTAATTAACAACTGATCCTGATAAATGACTAACTGTAATTAATGACTAATCCTAATTAACAACTAACATCTAATAATAACAAAAATTCAAAGTTTTAACATGAATTGAATTTCAAATTTATTTAATAAAGAAAATATTAACTAAAAAACTAATTAAAAACTCAATTTTCATCGTTCTCCTCCAATTCACAAAGATTCGTCATCGAATCTTGAAATATGTATTTCATCCAATTCCTCATAATTATACTAATTAACTCGGTAAATTAGCAAGGGATCAACATAATTCTTCAAACGAAGGTCAAACTATAGCTAGCATCTCAAGATCCATGGACTCTTAAGTGGCACTTAAAATCAACTTCAATTTCATTAGATCACCTATCAGAGACATTGACATCAAGTGCTTTATAGAAAATAGGTAAAAGTTCATAATTGTCAATAACAAAAATCCATACATTTTTCAATTTCTTCATCGAATATTCGGGATCCATTGTAACTGTCATTACCCAAATTCATAAATTTTTCAATTCCTTCGTCAAAAATTGGATAACCTTCGTAACTAGAATCCAAAGATTCTTCAACTTTTGAGTGATTGAAAGGAGTAAAAAGTGTTTCATTCCCAAACAAAACTATTACCATTGGATTTCAAGAACACTAACTCGTCTATATCAAGAACAAGGTTCCTCGCTCTGATACCAACTGGTATGGGGAGACAGAAGCGAAAAATACGTTGACAAATAGAAAGAACGATCCAAAAGCACATTGATGTAGGATAGAAGCTATAAATTTGTAATTCACATAAAATACAGTAAACTTTTTGTTGATTCTTTGCAAGAATACTAAATATTCGACTTGATCAACAAATCATTGATTCGTGCCTCAATACTAATTTGGATTGCAAAACGGAAAAAATTTCAACAATTAATATTTTATTTCAATTAAAAATATATTTTTACCATTAAGACTACAACCCATATTTATAAAAACTAAAAAATCTAATTAACAAATTATACTGATAAATGATTAATCCTAATTAACAACTAATATCTAGATAATAAAAAAAATTAAAAATTCTAATCGAAATTGAAATAAAGAAATCAGCTATTGTTAAATTTCCTTTTTTTTCCTATGAAGATATGAAGAATAGGTTATGATGAGAACTCAGAGCACCATCAAACAGTTGAGACATAAGAATCCCTCTTAACCCATCTACGTTACCCTCCTATAGATGCAAGAGTATTCAAAACATCATAAACGAACAAGTTTTTGTTTCATAAACTTTGATTAAATAAATAAATAAAATTCAAACTTCCCAACCAATCAAACTTCAATTTTAACTACACATTTCATGGGACGTATAACTTTTATCAATTTTTCAACCACAATTTTTAGCTTTTATGAAAAGCTTTTATCACACAAGCCCCAAATAAATAGGAGGTTGAATTGTGTTGCAACCATCCTTGTTGAACTTTGTCAAGAAAGTATCTTTCTGAAGTATTTCGTTCTCATGAACAAATTGATTTAAACTCGACTCAACAGACAATAAGAGGCATGGCAATATCAAAGCTGTGTACAGCGGAGCAAACAATAACAACCTAATAATGATCTCTATTCTCTAAGCATCTCCATGGACTTGACATGAAAAGGTGAGAGAATAACCAGGAGGAGGGAGAGACTATCGAGTTAGAAACAAAAGAAGTATGTCCTTTTCCAAGCTTGGTGCTTTCAAAAAAATGTGGAGGGGTGAATCTTGTTGGGAGAAGCCTAGAGAATTTCAAAAAGTAAAGAAAAAACCAGCTACAAAGTGCTGATGGAACTTGGATGCAAAAATCACATCCTACCTCACTGCATTACCTCAAGTACAAAGTACTCCTGGAAATTGCGGAAGTCATTTGGCCTAGAAATGAAGAGAATAGAAATTAACATAATAATAATTAGTTCCAAAAAATTATTCCAAATTTAACCAGTATAATATTCAAAACTTGCCTGGGAAGTCCAATATTTGGATCAAATCTCTGACTTTTATAATATTTGATCAGGTGGAGTAAGCCACCCCAGTCAGTATCCTGATTAGACGAGCATAAAAACATCATTTACATGCATATCAATAAGTAGCATTCATACATAATCAAACTGTAATAAGGTATCATCAACAAGCTTAGAAGATCAATCGTTATTACAACAGTGTGAAATAAATGAGAGGAAGAATCTTATCCAGGGATCATGAAAGAGATAAAATTGGATAGAGATGTAGCCTATATAACTTTCTAATAAAACAGAGGGTACATGTTGATCACCCATAATATAAACTTACAAACAGAACACGTGTCAAAACTGAGATTAAAGCCTACTTGTCTAAACAACCAAAACAAGGAAAAAGGAGACAAAATAAACTCAGGATGCACAGGCACGCAAAATATATACCACGAAGTTTATAAAAGCGAATTGGCAATACATTCCGTGAAAATGAAAGTCAAGTTCACCTTAAACAATGAAAATAGCAATTTTATTTGCCATAACAGTAATCACAAATAAAAAAGAAAAAAAAAATCTATAATAGCATATACAATACACATTCATCTATTTGTCATAACATAAAAAATAAAATATTCCATAGGGTATACCTCAGATGCTGTATTAGCTAACGCATAGGCAGCCTCGATTCGGACTCTCCAGAAAGCCTGAACAACACAAGTTGAAATGGATTCAACTCACTGAACATAGATAAAAGAAAATAAAATTGCACCTTCAAAAGAGGAATATACTAAATAAATGGAAAGAGAAAGAACCTTGGAATCCATGAGAAAGTTATTCAGAGCGCTCACAACAGAAAATGAAAGTTGTGGTAATGCCTCTAATGCTGCAATAGCTTGAGCCTGAGCAATAACATCCTTGTCCTTCTCCAATTCATTTATCTGGAAAGAAAGAATGTCATAAACCCGTTAAGATGATTAGCATTTCAGAATTAATAACATAATGAACCTGCCTAGGTTTCAAAACATTATCATAGCAAGTGATTTATAAAAGAGCTTCTTTTCATTTGGTTAATCATGAATGTCTTCGAACTTCCATTTTCTTCAGGCAAGGTGTGTGAATTAGTAGTTTCAGTTTTAAATAGATGAGAAAACTAAAATTTAATAATCCACATACAGCAGTGAGAGAGAGGAAAGCAGTTCTTTTTCCTTCAATATAGAAGCTCACAAACTTCAAAATACAACAAAAATTTTGTCCTCGTCTCTCACAAAATAACAGTTTCGCATAAGATATATCAAGTCCTATTCATGTTTAGGTATATAAGACATAAACATCGGGCATGCCTAAATATTTGTACTGTATAAGAGTTACCAGAACTTGAGAGGGAAAAAAACCCAATTAAATGTCTATCTCCAGCCATCAGACTACCTTCAGTGGATTCACCCCCTTAATCCTCTCTCAGAGAAAAGAACAAAACAAAAGAGAGAACATGAATTTTCACTTCCAATTTCTCCAGTGAATCTTATTGTTCTTTACAATCAATTTTTCTTCAGTAGTTGATTATGCAGTCTTCAGAATTGAGTTAAAAATTTCAAAGCAATTTCCATATGTTACCATTTGAATGTGTTCACTACATTGATATATCAGCTGCAGATAATAAACTACAAAAAAGAATATTACATCTGTCAAGGAGAGAGAGAGAATAACTCATCATTAATTTCGAAGCTTATCATCAATGGAGCAGAAGCATGAGAAATATACAAGGACAGGAAGGAAAAAGTCCAGGCAATAAGATCGACGACTAGAATGCTTATTTTTAATACATAATTGAACTAGACAAAGTAGAAAGAAACGAAAAGGCAAAGCATTTAACAACATAGAGAAGAAGAGATGGAGAAGAAGATAACCCTCGATATCTGCAGAACAGAGGACTAGGTAAAAAAGGAAGAGAGATTTGAGTTGCAATCGTCAATAATAAGCCTGTCATTACATGGATAGGCACTAGAGGTTTCACACATGTTACTTCAACTATCAATAATTATAATTCATACACGCAAGTGTATATAGTCTGCCTATTGAAGGAGCTGGCTAATGAAATAAATTAGCAGTTATAATAATAAATAAGGAGCCCTTTCGTTTCATTTTCTTCTACGAGAAATTAACTAAAAAATCAGGCATATTTTTTTCCAGAATACATTTTTTTTCTTAATGGTCATATGTCAATACATAAGTCATAGATCATCTATGTTAGGAATTGTATTTTTAGATTTACAGAAAAGCATAAATGTCGTGAAAGTTTTAGTTAGAAGTTTTTAGAAGTGAAATAAAAGTGTAAGTGAAATTTTCCCTTTCCCATGGTCCTTTTAACAAATAATCGTCAGGTAGTGATAAGAGTAAATACTCACCCACATCTGAACAGGTTGGTTAAAGTGAACTAAAGCAAGATACTCCATTTCTGGATCTGCCCGAAGCCACATCAGGGGAGAATCAGAACTGCAATGTTTTTATATCAACCCATGTAAGAATTAGGAAACCCCTCACAAAGTCCATATCCAATTCGAAGAGAGTATCTCACAGGTACAAACATCTATGTACTAAAAACACATGCATCTACACAACCTAAACTCGTAAAACATACTTTGGTCGCATATCGGTAGCAGGCACCACATCACCATTGTCATCAGAGCCATCAGGCTTGGAGCCTTTTTTGGGTTTCTGGAAGCGCTTAGCAGCAAGTTTTGAATGACACTGAATTTCCAGCAGCTGCGAAGGTTCACCAGACATTGGTAGAATTGGGTGATCATACATGCCATCAAACTCATGCACCCTTATGCTCATCATGCCTGGCCATCCAACATCACCTTCTCGGTTTTCATTATCAGGATTACCATTATTAACAATTGCATTAGAATCAGGTCTGGCTGTACATCCCCGCAGTACTGCTAACTCAACCATATTTTTCCTTTTGTTATAGGAGAACCCCATCCTTACAGGACCAAAAGTAAAGTATAAAAATCAAAGGGAAATCAGTAAGAAGAAGAACTGCCTAAAAGATAAAGAGCAACTTTTCAACAAGAACCATACCTCAGCACTGGACAACCACAGGATGCAACCCAGCGAGGAAAAAACTCTTTAAGAAATGGACGCTCAAGATTTCCAACCTTATTGGCAAAGTGCCGGAACTGCCATTTATACAAATATTTGATCAAATGAACGAAATATCGTATCAGAATCATATAGTAATCAACATATATTGTAAGATGATATATTCAATTAAAAAATTTCAATATCCGACACAGAAAGAAACATTGAGTCTGGATTAAAACCAAATCAACTGCCATTATGAACATTATGGGTTAACAAAAACAAGGGGAAACACCAGTAAATAAAATCATTTCCTCCCTAGCAACTTCTTACAACTTACGGCGACACATGTACTCAAAACGCAGGCTAAGAGAACTAGGAAATCATTGGTTAAAAAAGGAAAAACAGTAGCTGTCCTTCAAATAAAGCAACATGAGATGGTAGGATCCCCTCTATGATGTACATGGAGAAGGACATCTGAAAAATCTTATTCATGTAACACGTATTATCAAATATGTAAGTTGAGATGGATAGCAAAGGCTAGCCTTTCCATAATCAAAGTTCATAAAACAACTCCACTCCCCATAGAACAACTGCAGTATTATGTATTATCAGAAACATTATTTAGATAATGCAAGTAGAAAAATTAGTATTTAGAAGATTGATCCTTCCAACAAATAATACAACAGATGATCGAATATTAGTCAGCACATATCCAGTATTATCGGATTTTTATTTATTTAAAAGACAGGTAATAAAAGTAATACAAGGGGAGGACATGAGAAGGCGAATACAATGAATATTTCTTGTTGGCTTCGAGATGAACCAACATTCAGCTAATTCTAGAACTCAATTTGTCAACCAATTGGAAAATTTCCATAACTTCAATACATAATTAGATAAAGAATAATCTGGTAAAAGATCACAGTGACAAACTTCAGAATCTTTAAGATAGTAAGCAAACAATAGTTATCAAAAGAAACAGGAAACAGAAACAGATAAGGGACTGAAAGAAAACACAGCAATGCTTGCCAATCAAAGGTCTTCAGCATTGCACATCAAAATATTCTACTTCTGTTAAAAACCTTTTCAAGAGATATAGGACACCTGGTGTGATAACAGGCCAATGAGTTACCACCTCTCTTCTACCATTCAGATGAGCCCAAATAATGATCTATATATAGGAGGATGCATGTGTAAGAATTATCCAAGATATTGACAATCCTGGCCACAATATTTCAGCTAATGCAGTAAATTGTCCCAGTCTAATAACCATCACAAAATTTGCACCTTTTCCACAGTTAATCAGTTAATCCAAATTAATTTAGAGAGGAACCAACGATGTAGATACTGGGGGATCAGATATATATATACAAGAAATCACCTCCTTGGTGCTGAGAGTTCTAAAAGAATGAAAAGCATCTTGAGCCCGAATAACAATAGTTTGAAGAATCTGCAAGCGACGGAAAAATGTCTAACATCAATTACAATTAAAATGCATGAAAGTCAACATATTTTACGTATTTACATGTGCCCATCAATCTTGTCAATACTATGTATGAATAGCTTCACTTAAATCTGCAGACACGAAAAAAATATATGTGCATAATTACCAAACCTAAGAATATAAAGAATTATGCACTTCAGAGCATATAAGAGTCTTTGTATAAATCCACAAAGAAGCAATCAATTACTGTTTCCTTGACGGAAGTCGTGTTTCAAGATCATAATTACTTTTTTTTTTATGACCGTGAGTGTCCAGGCCAACTTACGCACATCTCGATTAATCCCACGAGACCCTGAAATTTACAATCAGATACTCACCTCAGTGGCCCTGAGAAGACTCGAGCTGGTGACCATTGGAGAACAAACCCAATGCCTCACCACTGAACTACCCCTCACGGTTGTTTCAAGATCATAATTACATCAAATAGATTATATATATTGACCAAGTATTATGCCAAAACCCAGCAATTATTTCATCAAAAAGAATGGAGGCAAGAGTGGAAAGACACGACTATCAAATCCATTCAACTATTCTGTAACTTATGTTTCACAAAAAGGGATCTAACCAATCAGTGAACTGGTACACAAAAGAACGTTAGAATTTGCAGGATAGTTATTAAAGCCGGACCAGTCTGGCCAGGAAACCAGTAACATTGGACCCTGATCTGGTCCAGGCAATATATTCAAACTCGTTAGCTGTTGAACCTGAAGTAAATTGGATAAACCGGTAGGTGTTTTATGAACCCAACGAATTGGTTCCGCCGGTTCTTTGAATCCTAAAAATCTCAAAAGTGGGGACTTGATCCTGGACCTCCAAGGAATCGTATAGAGGAAAAAGTCGTTAGGCTAGCCCCGTCACATTGTTTAATACGAGCAACTGCACTTATATAATTAAATTTCAGCTATCGAAAAAGATAAAATCATGTATTGACAAATATCATATCAAATTCTATTCGAACAACTTAAGAAATATTTTTATAAATTAATCCATGGACCACAACTTGACAGATTATAAAAATTAATTATATTTGTGATAAACAATAAGCCCATTTAAAACTTCTATTTTATTTCCACTAAAAGAAGTTTGACTAATAAATTTTAAAATTAAGTTGTAAATAAAGAAAGATCTATTGCTCCAACCAGTGACCCACAGATCGAGGACCAGTGATCCAGTAGCTTAGCTGGGTCAATATTTGGTCTGGCTGATAACTACGATTTTGAGTTTTTGGTTGCAATCACTATATAGAAAATTTCAGCATCATATCAGGACCATGCTTTCAGTCAAACCTTTTATTTCTATTTAGAAGTCAAATGACACTAATGACAGAGCACAAGGGAAGTATCAAAAGCAGCTAACAATATACAAACGAAAAGCATGGAACAACCTAGGACAAAAATGCTCACAGAGGTGCAATATCTATAATCCCAATTCCTAAAGAAAGATCTCCTAGTTCCCAATACCAAACACTTTAGTCAATTGCACGTCTCATTTCACTCTATAGACACATTTTGAAAGAGAGAATAGTCAGATCTCTTCCAGAAGTTGAAACCAATCTCCAAAAGTAAAAATGAAAATGCTCCCCTTAGCTCAATTGAGCCTCAAAGGAGAGAAAAGCCATCTTAATTTCCATCATTTTGCTATTCATTCCCAATAACAACAAACATTTGAGCACTGGAATGGAAAATTGTAAATTGATGAAGAATTGTATGAAGTAATAACAGTAATTAAAATCTCCAATAAGAATTGGGTAACAAGGGAAAAAATATGAGAAAGCATGCACAACTCAGGCCCAAAAGCTGGAAGCATAATCATTAGCTAGTATAATTTCTCTACAGCATAAAAGCATGATAATAACGCGAGTTTTCCTGTTCTTACTTTACGAAATGACTCAGGACCCATCTGCTTTTCCAACATTTGAAGGATGGCCACCTATTACATAAAACACTTTTTTTAAGTTAACTGAGTAGGGAATCTAAGCAAATTTAACAAAGTAAAACATCAACTTACAGATTTCCATGATCTCACTTTCCCGTAAAAACCTATACACTGGGTTCCATACAAATCCTTAGAGGCAGCAGCAGAGCTCAAGACAGTTGCACCACTATCATCCGCTTGGCAAACTGTGACATTAGCCTGTTAAAGCCAAAAAGAAGAGGTCACAACCGAATCTTAACACATGGAATCCATTTACACCAGTATTTCTTTTATATTATTTTTAATCAGCTAAGCTTAGTGATTAATCTCATGTATTACTTGATTAATAGCCATCATTTTCTGACGTGTGCACATTTGCGTGTGAACAGATGTATCAGACACAACACCTACATTTGCTGAAATCAATAAGCCAAATATCCAAGTGCATGTTTGGAATAGCTTAAGTTATAATTTAAGCCGGCCAAGACATACTTTTAATCCACACACTACAGCTTTAAAAAACTACCACGACTCCCGAACATGTTATAAATACTGATGTCAAGAAACTACCAATGAAACAAAGTCAAAGATAAATTTAAAAACACAGATCAACAAAGTATCATTCTACTTTGCTTTCTAAGTACTACTATCCAAACATGTTTGCAAGTGAATATATCGATAAAGGAAAGCATTTGGACAAAATATATGTCACCATCACTTCCAAGATGACTAAATTCCCATTTTCCTAAAACGATAATATAGAAAGTGTAGTAGCATCAAGTATATTCAAGTTATGACTAAGATGAACAAAGATAACATGATAAATGAGGTGTTGAAGGAAAAGCAAACCTTATACCGCCTATAGTGTGCTTCATTGTTCCCTAGATACTTCCTAATGAACGTATCAGTCAGAAACCCAGCAAGTCCATCCAAGAGCCATTCTAACAAGAAGCATCAAAGTAACTATATCAGAATGTAACTTTTGTATTCTTACCAGTACAAAGTGCAAGCATATATTTAACGCCTTACCATCATTTGAAGCTTCAGGAGTGATATATACTCCAAACCACTGTCTTGCAAGGGCATAAGAAAGTCTAATCCTCGTTTCTATAGTCTGTTCAATAAATCTAAGTCCATCAACAAGAACAGAGATAACAGAAGAAAGCATGATATAAGAAGCGGGCTATTGTTTAATTGGCATCCTAGAATCAGAACGCCTTTATAAAAGGAAGACAAATTCTGCAAGCAATGTGTTATTATTTTCTCATTCCACAAGGGGAATACAAAAGCCAGAAAATTTAAAGCCCATCCTTGTCAGACAAAAAATCAACCCAAGGATCACAATAAATGAGACCAAAAAGGAGGAAGAGAAACAGGGTATTCCTATTCCTCTCCAGCAAATCACCCAAACCAAACAGTGAGGAGCTAAATCCTAAGTCATCCTTCCCAATTTCAGATGTGGTGTATTAGCAAACAAATATGTTAATTCAAAAACTTGATTTTTATTCAATCATCTTAACAAAAATATGAACTTTAATAAGACCCCGTTTGGTAGGGATTTTTTATCCCAAAAAATTGATTTTTTTTACCGTTATTTTACTATTCAAGCCGTAATTTTTTTGATTTCTTCTCTCACATGTGGACTCCACTTTTCTTCTAACGGTCAAAAAATCAATTCTCAAAATCCCTACCAAACGGGCCCTAAATAAACAGAGTAAGAAGGTAGAATATATCTGTACAATATCTTATCTGCAGAACAGAAGAGAGGGTCTTCTACATAAACGAATTCTGAAAACTCCTACAATATATCAATTTTGGTTTTATCATAATCATTCTGAGGAGGATGGACATCATGCTTAGATAGATAGACTTCTGAACCTCACAATACATTCTCCGTCACAGTGAATGGCTCCGTGTGGTTCCATAGTACCAGAAGGGTTAGCCAAGAGAGTAATCTATTCCTTGAACCATTTATCCTTCTCATTAAGAGCCTATTTGGGAGTGATTTTTTGTCCCAAAAAATTGATTTTTTGACAGTTATTTCACTATTCTAACCGTCATATTTGACTTTTTCTCTTACAGGTGGACCCCACTTTTCTCCTAAAGATCAAAAAATCAATTCTCAAAATCACTCCCAAACAGGCTCTAAATGTTTATTGGATGAGAAAGAAAAGCTCGAGTGCTGTTAGTGAAGGTTTAGTATGTCTTCAGAAATGGTATCGATACAAAAATTAGCCATCTTTTGTTTGCAACTGGTCTTCAACTTTTTATTCTAATACTTTTATAGTTATTAAAGCCAATGAGCACAATCAATATGTAAACCAGCTTATTACGACCTATTGACAACTTGTTATTTCAAACTTCCACTCTTATTTATCCTTTCAAATATTAAACCTACAGATGTTACGACTAATGAAATTAATCCCTGTCATCAACATACCTGATCGATAAGCTTCTCGTCAAACAGCATTTGAGAACTAAAGATACTTAAAGATGCTCCCAAACTCAACGAGGACACTGCCATTTCAGGAGCTATAAACACTTGTGAGTACGACCCAAATGGAAATTTCGCACCAAGGTAAGACTCGTAGTGGCTGTTGGAAAGAACAATATTAATCTTGGCGTGAAAAGTCAAGTCAAATTATGAATGCAATAATAACTTATTTGGAAAACCATTTTTACTTGAGGTCCATAAACAAAAAAACAAGGGCCAATATTAAGAAATACCTGAATGCATTGTAGAAAAATCCAACTGAATTACGTAGCTTTGACAAGTTTGCTGGTAAACAAATGTGTGATAGGAGACCACTATGTTGATCAGGAAGAATTTCAAATGGAGCAACTGCCAGAGATATCCATTGAGCAGCCACAGGAACATTTAATCTATATACATATGTCTTCCGCGGAGGATCATCCTTGGTCAAAATCTGCTAAAGGAAAAACTTGTCGGTCGCAGTTTGAAGGAATAAAAAAAATTAAAAAAAAAAGAGAGAGAGAGATAAATATTGAAAATATATGGCATTAAAGGCATCAAACATTATCATCAAATAAGTCTTGATTCCAAACAAAATTCACATCAGCTGCAAGAATTCTTGTTCATCATTAAGTTCGGTTAATTGCTAAATCAAGACCATGTACTTCTTAAGCAACTATATCCTTTGCAACTACCACAATACAAGTTAGTTTTGGTCTACCTCTCTCCCAGCATGTTCTATACAAATCAAAACATGTCTCAACCACCTAAATCATCCTTCCATTAATTTATCCTAGTCAACACCACCCTCTTATCCATTTTATTATAAGCACACGTCCATCTTAGCCTCTTCCATTTCACTATATCAGCTTATGGATCCTATCCTTCAACAGCCATATGCTCAATATAATAAGCATCGCAAGTCTAATCAATATTCAATACAACAGGCTTTTAATTTTTTAGGGGACCTTTGAATCTCACAAACTGACAAAATTCATATCAGATTTTATCCAAAATGCTCTAATAAGATGTGTAATACAGTATTAAGTTTATAATTAATTAATCATTTATCTAGTGCATGCATACATCATTAGATGTGCATGTTTTTTTTCAGAACATAAGAAAAATGGAAGAAGAGAGTGAGATGTCATCTCCCAAACAAGAGAAGAAACAACCCAAAAACAATTAAAAATAATAATAATTAAAGAGAACAAATAAAATTAGAAAAAAGAAAGAAAAATGACTCACCTGATTCCTTCAAGTTGCTACTATAATAAAATTTAAAATAAGAAGTTGCCACTGCTGCCGAGCCACTGGCGTTTCCAAGTAGCTGTCGCCTTCACCAGCCAGTGCAGAGCTTTTCGTTTAATAGCGTCTCGCTTTAGGTGTTAAATTCTTATTTTTAACTAGTTTTATTAAGTACCTAGCAGATATTTGACTTTTCAAAGGTGATTCACAAAAATACTATGTAGGCTTTTAATAATAAGTTGCCCCAGCAGAAGATACAGATAAAAGGGAAGTACACTCCTAGTGGAGACTGAGGCGAGGCTTTGAGGCTTACGCCTCAATCAGTAGAGGCACAAGTTTCAATAATTCCTTGAAAATTCTCACCTAGAGGCCTTTCTTAAGGGTTTTATTAAACATTAAACCATGGTCTACAGATTCTTTGATTCCTCATTCCTTGTTAATAATCAAACCTAGATATTTATCAATCATTTTAGGGTATAACATGATACTCTGTATTAATTTCATTATCATCTTTATTCCACCTTTTATTAAAGTGAATTTGTATTTATCCTCTTATGCCCTAAAGCCTTTAGATTCTAAAGTTCTATCCTATGACTTATAAACTAAAACTACATGATCAGTGAACAACATGCACCAAAGAACCTCACTTTGAACAAATCAACGTTAATCATCAACAATATAAATGTTAATAATAAAATCAAAAATATTTTACATGCACCGAGTGGATGTAATTCTGTTGTCACATTGCCAAAAAGAAAAAAAGAGCAGTTTCCATCAATATTTAGTTCATCGATCTTAATTATTTGCATTTCCCCATTTCCCTTGTGCATAGCACAAAATTCATAACCTTATCTCACCTGATGAAGTAAGGTTCCAGAGCTAACTGCCACGAGGTTACTGGCCACTGTAAATTCCAAATCATAGCTGAAGAAAATGTAAAGTAGCTATCACTATATAATTAAAAATCATACGAATGCTAACAAAGTGACAACATAACCTTGCACATACCAGCAGTGCTGCAAACTGTCGTCCATGCAAGGGAACCAGCACCGTGCACGCCTTAATTGGTTATCAGTATGTAACACATTATCATCAAAATGAATGCCCGTTTCTGCTTTCTCCACCCAATAGTCAATGCGAACTTTTTTCACATTCTGCACCCAACACAACCTACATGAGAAGTCATAGAAGAGTAAACCTCATCATACACACATCTTAAAAGAAATGTGACAATATAGTTTAGCATGCAACAAGATACATTAGTTTAACCGATTCAGCTAATATACTAGTTAGATGCACATTTATCTTTCCATGACTTTATGTTAAACTCAATGTTTCTATGAAATTTAAAATACTAAGACAGGTAGTTCTAACCCATATTACTTTCTTCAAACTGGTCTACACACAATTTATTTGATGATACACTTCTTCTAAACATTCAGATGACGCTTGGTCCCCTGAGATGTATTTCGTTATGATTTTTAAGTACCTGTTGAATATAAATTATCGGAAAATTTCATCTAACACCTAACACATACAAATCTCATCTCAATAACTTGGCAAAAATACCAGGACAGTCCTTTAGTAGGACATACTCTAAAATAATAATTTGCTATGCCAGCTTAGCATTTCCAAATAGAAAAACACCATGACTAATATGCCAAGAAGTCATACGACCATCTAAGTATTGTTTTTCACCCTTGTTTATGTGCTTTCAAGCATTTCAGAAACATAAGAACACAATACAGTTCACTTTAATTACACCATCAAATATATAATGACAGAGGAATTAGAACAAATGTGCTTTTCCTTTCGATACTTATTGATAAACAAAGAGCTTATAACAAGAGATGACGAAATTCTTCTCTCTTATTAGGTAGATCATAATGATAAACCAGTAAATAGCTAAGCAAATAAAATGAAATAAAGATTCAAAGAACAAGGGAATATATGACAAACAAGAGAATGAGGTTCAACATGAGTTAATGAGATAACAAAAATATAATCCCATTTTCACCCACTTCAGAATGACCAACAATCATTCCAAAACTAGCCAAACACCCATCTCTTGACCTTAATGTGATGAAATGTGTGATTGGAAGATACATATAAATTTACAAGAAAAGTTCTACAAAACAGTTATTAGAATAGCCACGCTTGATAATACTGAGTATTGGGTTGTTGTAGAATAAAATGTCCATAAATGAAATTATGAATGTTACAAAGGCATGATAAGTTAAATGTGCATGTACTAGAATGAATAAACTAAGAAAGGAAATATACACCAACAAGAGTATCACGAACCAGGAAAAAATTAAGGAAATGACACCTTGGTTGGTAAAATATCATGTGCAGAGCTAAACAAGCTCACACTCATACAAGCAAGTCAATGTTGGTACACGCAAATCAAAAAAGGAGAGAGAAATCAGAATACACAAGCTGAAGCGGTTGCAAACAACTTAATTGCATTGGATCTTCCACTAGATTTCAAATGAAGAGTCAATAAAAATTCATGTAGCAGACCTCAAATTTATTCAGAATAATGTTTAATTTTTTATTGCCAATGTAGTTAAAAAATAACGATGCTATGTTGTGCACATAACATCTCTCATACAGCAGTCTTTCTACGGAAGAGTCCCAATTATCTTTGTTCATATCTTGCCTTAACTTTCATTCTTTGTCACACCTATATGCATCTAATAATAGTACTTGTACCATGTCTGTTATGGAAAAGCTGGTAAAAATGGCATGCAAACATCAGCATAAATTCATGGGCAGAAAACAAACGAACTTAACAATCTTTGCTTGTATGAATCAACTCACACACAGTCACACACCACTAAAGATAGTGACTAACGTTAACAAGCCGGGTATGAAGTGTATATAAAAGATGTCATGTCCCATAAATAAGATTACATGTTACCGAAACAAAATATGTCCAGAGTTGAGAATATTAAATATTAACCCAAGCAACAGAATGAGGAACTGGTCATAAACCTGCTCAGCATCAGCAGATGAGTCGATACCAGTGTTCATATGCACATGTCCTTGTTCATGCTCCATTTTGGTAGACTTGCTGCACATTATTAGCAAATTCGGAAGCAATTCAATCTCAAGAGATGACAAATACACCGAACCAGCTGCATCAGCTGCTGAGGTGGCCGACGAAACCACACACCATCTATCCTTTGGGTCTAATTGCTGATAATGAGGGAAGACTTCGAACTCTGCTGGCTCCCCGTCTACTGTAACCGTCTCAATAGCCAAATTATCTGCATGCAAACCTACAATGCCATTGTCTGGTACGACTATCAGAAGCTCTGTGTACCTAAAGTAGAGAATAATAACAGCCTGTTATGTACTTGCCTTATTTTTCTGAATTCTGACAATTCAAACTTATTATCACCGAAATTAACATTGTTATTTTAAAAGAATTTGAAGATTGTGATGAAAATAAATATTAGAGGGTTTTTAATGTGACCTCAAAATTGCATACTGATGCATTAATATAACGCAATTTGACACTATAGGCTGGCACACAACCGAGAAACTGAAGAAAAAATATGTTAAAATTTTAAATTTCCTACATTCAAATTAGAATAATCAATTTTTTTCAACAAACATAGCCTTGAATTCAGAAGAATTGTTATATGGTGTCATAAACAATTTGACAATACTAATATTTAAACTATATTTAATATTTAAACTATAAAAAATAAATATTTAAATAAAAAGAAAAATCCTAAAGAATCTGGCTCTGTGATAGGGTACAGCATAATGAAACTTAAGAATTTATTCACAGTAGCAAAAGGCACGACAAAATGGTAAATCTTACAGTAATTCTCAAGTTATTCAATTCAATTAAAAAAAGTAGACAAAGTAAGTTCCATTGGCAACACAAACATGGTAAAATTTAATTGAGCTATTATCCCAAAGAATAATTATAAATGCAGCGCAGCACATTAAAATAACTCTAAAGATTTGGTTTTTGTCAAAAAATAACCAAAAAAAGGTGAACTTTACGGTAAATCTATAGTTATTCCATCAATCAAAACGAGTACACAGAGTAAATTCAGTATTTAGCAACACAAATCACGTAGAATTCAACTGAGCTATAATAAAAATGAATAATAGAAATTTTACAAAAAAAAAAAATTACTGCACCGTTGAAATAATAGCTCAATTCCTACTCATCTATAGAAATTAAAAAGAATACAAAAGATTAAAATGAACAAACCCGTAGATTCGACGATGGTACATGTCGATAGAGAGACAAAGCTTCTGATGCTTAACCACTGCTTCAGAATTACTATTATCTCCTCCTTTCTGCTCTTCATTTTTTGTCTTTTTAGCCTTCGCCATTTCAGCTTATGGAAAAAAAATTACCACGAACGAATTTACATAAACGCTACTGTCGCGAGCTTCCTCCAAGGCTCAGTGTGAAATGAGGCGATTTATAGACAAACCAGAGAGGTGTATTTGGGGATCGATTGGGTAAGGCTGCGCCCTAGGCTAGTTCATGTGATCCTACTCGTACACGTGTCGAATGAAGTCGAGTGCATTGATGGTGTTACTGTTCCCCGTTTGAGGCCCCATTATTTGAAATTGTAACGTATAGAATAGTGTTTTTTAGGAAAATACGTATTTGAAAAAAAATTAAAAAATTTTAATTTACATATAATATTATTTTATTAAAAATGTGTTGTTAAAGGTAAGAGAGAGAAAATTTTAATTTAATTTGATAGGATTTAATGAGAGCCAAACGGGGGCTTAATTTGCACCATTTTGCAATATTAAGATGCTATAACTTCTACCTATTGTATCATAATTAAATCTTGGTTCTCAAAAAAAAAAAAAAAATTTAATTTGCACAAATAAGATGTCATAAATTTTATTTATTGTATCGTAATTAAATTTATAATTCTCAACCTTCGCTCGTTGTAATTGATTAAAAACAAATAAGAATGTAAATTCAATTTAATAAGTTAATGTAGAGAACTAGACCGAATGTCGACCGAATATGACATTGTTGGTTGTGGTCATTAAAAATCTCATTCCATTAATTTACTCATTACATATGGAAGAGAGAAATTGATAAACGTCTTCGATTATTAAATTTATCAAAAAAATAATTTAGTTTGTTGATTTTAAACATTTTGGCATAGTTTATTTTTCTTGTTCTTGACTTCACTCAATAGGAGTTGCTATTTAAATTCACCATTGTTATACGTATATCACTTAAAAAAATTATATTATACTTTTAACCTTATATAAATTTATTTAAATAGACATACGTAAAATTAAATGAAAATATATCCCTCTAAAGCCATTCACAAATATATTGATTTTCATTAGATTTTTATGAACTTTTTTCTATTCTTTTAGAATTAGCTAAAACATTGATATTCATAAACTTGTATAAAACATGACCGCTCGAAAAGTCTTCTGCATGGCACTCTGCATTTCAGGATCGGGAGGACAAGGAAACGAGCATATTAAAATACCACAATCACAGATTTGAATAAACTTTATTATTATTATTTTTTTTTTTTTTTTTTTTTAAAGGGAAAGTAGGGCAGAAGAAAAAGAAGAGTTATAAGAACCAATTTGCAGAAGCATCAATTACCACAAATGATTAATTCCATGCTCATTGGCAAGGACCTTCACAAGTTCACCTTGAAGGGCGAAAGAAGGAAGCAATTCAATCACGAATTGGTGTGGATGTATAATGTTTAAATGAATGCGTTTAATAAGAACAATATTATAATGTAACGAGGATGAAAATAGTATTTTTTTTTTTTTTAATTTAAAATTTTAATGGGAATAGATACATCAATCCTGTCCTTTAAGAAGTTAGGAAAGCAAGATAACTCTTAAAGTTACAAGGGATATATAGTTTGAGAATAATATATTTGTATTTTAACTACATTTTATTAATTAATCTTTGAGTAACAAATATGTGAAATATATTAAAAAGAATTAAGAGTGAGAGAATGTCTTAATTACAAAATAAATAAATAAAATCATACCTCTATTTGGCTACCTTGTATTTTGCTCATTTTTTTCTAAAATTCAATTTCAACCACACATTTTATGGACATACAATTTTTATTACTTTCCAACTAGAAATTCTACCAACTTTTATCAAAATCTACTAAAAATCTAATTCTTATCAATGTCCTAAAAAACATAAAGCGTGCCTAGATATGGAGGCCAAGTTTCAAACTTTATGAATCTAGGTGAGACTCAAGCATAAAAAAATGTAACTTATTTTTATTATTATTTTAAATACATAATTATTCTAAAAATATTTTGACAATTAAAATAATATATACCAAACATTTAAAATTATAATATGCTATATTTATTTAATGATCCCTACAATTAGTCTATTATAAATTTTCAAGTTTTCAAAATACGAAAGATAGACTATTTTCATAATTTCAACTTTCAACTAAACAAGTTCTACTAAACAAATGTATAGGAATTTCATCCATATTTCTGAAGTCTCAACAAAATGATAACTCTTAAAATCATAATTACATGTAGAAAGCACTGTAACTTAAATCTTATATAAATCTTTACAGAATAAAGTCTTTTTTTTTATTTTTGTATAGATAAAATCATTTAAAAACTTGAAATTAAAGTCAAACAAAAGCCTTTAAAAAAAAGTTTTTTTTAAAAAGGAAAATAAATTAATAAAGCATGCTTAGAAGTGTTGCAAATTAAACTGTCAACTTAATAGTTGATCGCTTAATTCGCACTTATTGTCAAAGCAAAATATAATGCCCGCACCTTGTGTCTAGACCATTTAGAACTTTGATTTTTATCCAAATCAAATAGGAGATATGTAATCAAAAGTTTAAACCCCTAATACCGTGTGTGTGTGTGTGTGTGTGTGTAGAAGTCAAAAGTTTGAACCAACTTTAAAGGTATTTCATCACTATATATGAGAAAACTTAAGAGGTTTTGCATATGATAATAGCGGTGTTAAAGTGACGCAAGTGGTTTATAGACTCGGCTGACGTTCAAGCGATTTGTCCCAAGTCGTATAACGATTCACTTTGCTAACGAGTGACTCGCGCAAGTTGGCTCCCATTTGCTAAATAGTGCAATTTTCAACGCTAAATAATTTTATTTTTTTTAAATGATGAGCCGTGAGTGACTTTAGAGCCTAACTTTCTTGACTCGGGTCCTCTCGCACTTGACTTGAGCAATACCCCACAGATATGTAGAATATATTATGAGGTATAAAAGCAAGTTTCGAGATTTTAGGTTAAACTTCGCAACTTTACCATTTTTCTGGGGGGATATTGTGTAAATAGTCGTAATAGTTAGAAATACTAGGTTTTCACGAAATTAAATATTACTATTATTTTGGATATCTATTAAATTATTATCGAAATTATGTGTTATAAAATTTTTAGGTAAAACTTAAAATGTGCACATATTTAAATTCGAATTTCATGATAAATTTTTCTATTGAAAGTTCAGTGTAAATTTTAAAAAGGTATTATTAGAATATTAATTAGGTAATTAATCCTTGTCCAATCACCATTATTTAATACTATTGTGCATGCTAATTCATTGAAAATTTAGTGAGAAAAAGAAAAGAAAAAGAGAAGCCAAGAGAAAAAAAGGGTGAGGGAATAGGAAGTAGGAACAGTGGGAGGAAAGAGAAAAAGGAGAGAGAGAATAACAAGTTTTTTGGCACATTCGAGATCTATTCGCAAGAATTTTCAGCCCTAAGTAACTAAAGCATACAAGTAGGGTTGGGCAAATCTCTCGAACCGAATCGAATCGAACCCGACGGTTCTTGTCAAATTAAATATTCGAACAGATATTTGAATTGAGAACCAACGAGTACGGTTCGGTTCTTGATTCTAGATCAAAAATCGAAGAACCGAATTATTCTAATTTTTTTATATTGAACAAATCAAATTATTTTAATTTTAATTTTTTCTAAACAAATTTACAATTTCTAAATCCAAATTTTTGGCCCAATAATTTGTTTCATTTCTTAGCCCAACAAGATTCAACTCACTAAATAACCCAAAACACTACACTAAAGTGCATAACGCTGTCTCGATTCTCGCACTCACTCTCGTAGCCTCGCTGACATTCCAAAACTTATACAATCGCTGACCGACGTTGTGACCTCCGACCGAAACTTTGACCATAGCGATCATTTGAACAAGGTAGTCTAGTAGTCTCTGACATTCCAAAATCATTGGATGTGTCGTTAGTTATATTTATATAATGTTGTTATAAATGTTAAAAAATTTAATTATAGTACGGAATCAAACCGAACTAAACCGAACGGCATCAAACCCGAACGGTTCCATAATTATATTTGGACGCAACGGTTCCATTTACTAGATAACCAAAAATTTTGGTTCGGTTCGGTTCTCTTTAAAACCGAACCGAATCGACCCGCGCCCACCTCTACATACAACCAATTTAACTCAATTAACTCATTCCATAATTTAATTTATTTTTACAGATTTTTTATTGATCGAGGTTGAAGATTGATATTGTTGACAGAGTCATTGTCATTTGATTAAAAATTTAAAATTTTTCTTCCAGTATTTGATTAGAAACATATTTTCAAGCAGAATTTTATTTCCAAAATCAATGTTGAAAATTAATACTAAATCATTTTATGAGACAACAAAATAGTTTATTTTGTTTTGCATAATACTTTAAATTTTGTATTCCACTATTAGTCAATCAATTTCTTTACAGATAAAGAAATTATTTGAGTATCTTTCGGGACATAGGTTTCGGGACGTTATAGTATGGTATGAGAGCCCAGTAAATATTTCTTATGGACTTTGTGAAATTGAAATTTTAGATTTCTTTTATATATTTAAATTAAATAAATTTTGATCTACACAACATTGGGAGCAGCATAATCAATTTCTAACTGACGAAGAAAGTTAGAATGTTGACAAAAACTTCATGACTGTGATGCTTGAAAAAAAAAATTCAATTTCATATAATTGGAAGAATACAAAGCTTGGTTACATGACAACATTATGATAATATCTATAGTAGCAATAATAAATTTTTGCTAGGGGGATTAGATCAAGGGTACTTAAGAATATATAATATATTTATACCTAACTTTTCCAACTAAATTTAAGGATGGCAAAAAACCCCGCCCCGGCCCGAACGGGTGAATATATAATATATTTATACCTAATTTTTCCAACTAAATTTAGGGATGGCAAAAAATCTCGTCCCGCCCTGAACGGATTGGCGGGGCAAGGCAGGTGCCCCGCCTCGAACCCGCCCTGTGAAAATTAAAAAAAAGGAATAAAAAAATTTATTTCTAGATAATTTACCTGCTAAAGACCCATTTTAAATTTGTACTTTATTCTCTAATTATAACATAACTCGAAATTTTGAAATGTAAAAAATAAATAAATAAAATAAAAAAAATTAA